TAATGACTCTCATTGGACCAGGGGAAGAGTGTGAGGAATCCTCCGCCTGCAGAGGAAGAGGCAGCACAGAGGTGTGATGAACTGACCACAACCCTCACAAGCCACTGAGGGGGAGTAGGTAGAGAAATAGGGAGTAGAGGTTGAGGCCAGGAAGAAAGGAGAGGTGGAGGGATGGTGTTTGTAAGATTTAGTTGTTATTTCTCATTATCCTTCTCTGATTTGATTGGTAATAAATTAAGCTAGTTTTCCCAAGACAAGTCTGTTTTGCCCTGATGGTAACCCATGACTGATCTCTCCCTGTCCTTATCCTGACCCGCATCAGGTTCTATTTTCTCTCTCCTGTCCAGTTGAGGTGAGAAGTGGTAGAGCAGCTTTGGTGGGCACTTGGTGTCCAGCCAGGATCAACCCACGACCTGAGAATTCCAAAATTGCAAAGATTTTCTGTTGTGAAACAGAAGAGCAGTGATCAAAATGTCCCAGAGAACAGGAATTTTCAAAATGTTGCTTTAATTCCCTCCTACATACAAACCAAAAAAAATCCCTAAAATATCTTTCCCTGTAGTTTTTCCTGAAGCTGCCTGTGCAGGCCAGAGCTTGTCACATAGTTATGCAAGGAGCCTGGAGACCCTCCACTCCATCTCAGACTATTCCAGGACCAACTGGGAGGTGTCAACATCAATGATGCTGTGAGCTAGAAGTGATTCTCTGACAAAAAGTATACCCCAACCTTCCTCCAGAGCACTGCCAGCTTCTCAACCAGCTCCAGTTCCCCCAGGGTTTCACTGTGTCAGAGCTACCATTTACATCAGCTCTGAAATCAAGTCACCTGCAGCTGAGAACCATGACTCCTTACAGCCCTTGGCTAACTGAGAGCTTTCTCCAGCAAAGCTTACTTCCATTTCCCTTTGTAGAGCACAGCAGTGAGGAATTCTGCCCATCTGCATCCTCCAGCACACACAAATGAAAAAGGAGAACACAATTCCTCCATTATCCCCCTGTAATTACTTTTTCCTTCACCCTAGACCCCTTCCCTTTTCTTTTAAGCCTACGGTCACGGTACACAAATGCACTTCACTACTCCTGGGAGTAAGAAGAAATATTTAAACCAACTCATATGCTGTGTTTAGCCCCAAAGCAAACACTGGGGTATAGTGCTTTTCAAAAGGGAAATTTTGTCCTAGGTTTGGGGTTTTTTGGCCTGTTATTCAAAGGAAAAGAGAGGATTTGCATTTACAGTCCTGCAGCATCACTTCCAGCACAGCCCTCCTAGCTGCAGCAGTAGCTTACCTTCCTCCTTGCCTGCGCCTTCAACCTTCAGTAGGAACATATGCAGGGTGCCTTTGTCAACATCTTTCTTAATTCTCTGCAGAGAAAGGAAAGACAGGGATGCTCAGCAAAACAATTTCAGTGGCCCAAAACACAGGAGGCCCAACTTTTGAAAGCCTAGGAAGTGATGCATGTCAGAATGGTAGCATGTGCCAATCTGACCTCCTCCCACCCCCCTAAAAAAACCTAATCACAGCCTGAAACTGTACATTCCCATGCTGAAAACGCAAACACTGTGACTGGGCAAGAAGAAGCTATGCTGTAGTCTCTGTAGTCATGCTGTAGCCATGGAGCATCAGGCAGCTCATAGTGTTCAAACTATGGCTATTTCCTGTGATGAGCCACAACCAACTTCCACCTGTGACAACAGGGAAGGGAGCAGGAGAGCCAAGATCCTGCCTTTTCCTCTGCCACAGATAGGATCAGGCCCTCTTAATGGTCCAATTTAATATCTGTGACTCTGCTTCTCTAGGTGTAAAAGAGAGCAGATACCCACTACACCCAAGTGGCACACAACTTCCCATGAGATTTGCAAGACCCTCTGGGATTTCCACCCTTGAATGTTGAGCAGAAGCTCAAAGCATCTGTGCTCTATCATTTGGAAGGCCCAAGTTTAAGTACAGATCTGTGACTAGCACACAGACTCTCAGTCCCTGCCACCTGCTCATCTCCATCCCACTACAGGAGCAGCAGAGGTGACAGCTCGCTCTCTGCACCACAGCCTGACTGCAGCTGTCAGTTTTAGCATCCAGAGCCCCACAGAGCCTTGAGCAACAGTCTTTTCTCCTAAACAGAAGCCCCACGTCCACTCCTGCTAAGGGCAACAGCAAGAGCAGAACCAAGCCTCCACTGAGGCTGCTAAATGATTCATTTAAAATGTGATTTTCCCTTACTCCTTTCACTGTAAGCCCCTGTACTCCAGTGCTCATAGCAACATGCAGTATTTGAAAGCAGCGCTATGCAACACCACTGTAGGAGGTCTTTTAATAATGTCATTATCCACCCATCCTTCATGCAGAGCTCCTACTTCCTTGTAATTCCCTTCCTCCTGGGGGTGATGGCATTGCTATGCTGTGTTACTGCTTCCAGGTAGTAGATCCCAGCAGAAGCTGAGAGGGCTCGATCCAGTTCTCAGAAGATGAGCAGGACTTGCAGGCACCCAAGAGCACAACAGCATCCTGCACTATCCTGTTCCTGCTGCGTACCTGTACCCAACCTTGTGCCTTGCACTTGACAGGTTTTGTTACTGCAGAGTATGCTATGTTCTTACTGCAGGGCCCAGTATCCAATTTGTAGGAATTGTCTTCAATTCTTAGAAAAGCGGAAGAGAAGAAAGTGTGTTTGAGGCACTGCAGAACACCACCACCATAACTTGGATGATGCTGAGAAGCCCCAGGGAAGGCTGATAATGAAGTGCTGAAGGAAAAAGAATTCTGCTCGCAGTGCAGCAAAACAGAAGCTTCAGTTAAGGACCAGGTTGTGCCTGGAGAGCTGTCCCGGAAAACATGTTAGTTTGGGGCTATGTCTCATGTGTCTTCTTGCTCTCCACGTGTATCTAAGCATGCCCATTAGTGAACTGGAAAGACACCCACTCTTCGAGACAGGATGTCTACACTAGAGAGATCTGTGCAACCACTTCTACGAAGCCAACAACTGCACTGTTTCATCTACAGCCCTTGAGTAACGCAAGTGAGGCACACAGGGATAGGAAGCCTGTAGGAACAGGCATCACTGACAGTCCTATTTTCGAGGTAAGAGGTTATACAGTGATGACTTCTTCAGCTACTGCCAGTTCTCCAGCACACAGAAAACAAGAAAGACAAGTCTTTGCAAAGGCGTGTGGTTCTGAGGCATAGCTAGAGGAGCTGTGGTGTGGAGACACAGCTGGAGAGGCTCAGAGTTGCCCACTTTGAACAGACCCTTAACTGAGAGCTGCCAGGGCAGAAAGGGAAAGAAACACCTTCTAGGAAAGGTTCTGTAAGTATTGAGTACACAAATTCATGGCCTGATAATGCCATGTATTGTGGCATTTACAGCAGAGGCTCTTAAGTTCAAAGGGCTGTGAGTCACTGTGCTGAGCAAGTGCCACACTCTGGAAATGTCACACTTTGCTGTCTCTGTCACACAGCTCTAGAGAATCAGAAGCCACCAATAAGCTGCAGGCTGTGGACAGCTGAGATACAGACACCTTTTCAGCTTGTCCCTCACCTTAAACACCCTTCCAAGACTCACCTGAGCTCTCAGAGAGGACAGGCAGAGGAGAGGGAGGGAAACAGACATGGGCAAGGAGTCCACACCTTACAGCACTGAAGCGCACCCCAGTGACTGCAAAGTGCCCGACTGCTAATGATAACAGAAATGGTTATTTCCACCCTAGTCCCAGTTAGGCTGTGGTTTGTCCTTCAGTTCTAGACAGAGCACACATTCGTATGTGTGGGGACACACAGGCTGAAGTGTGCAGGAGCACAGCGAGATATGCACTGAAGAAGGGGACATCACAAATACTGAGAGAGCAGTTGGCTTCGCTATTGTACAAGCTGCATAGAATAGCTGCATTATTTTTCTCCTGAAAACCACAGAGCTCCCTGTAGTAAACATACTGCATATGCAACATGACAAAGCTTCTCAGGCTGAGAAAACCCCAATGAAGTGGAGTGGGAGTTAGTTATTTGTTGTCAAAGAGATGCCTGTTTTCCCCAACTCACACTGGCTCAAAAGCAGACTTCACCAGCAAGCAGTACATTGCTACAGGAGACATCAACCCCCTTCTACTCAGGACATGCTCTTGACCTAAGCAAACTGCTCTGTCAGTCACAAGAGGCTCCTGCTTCTCCCCAACTAACCTCCTTGCCTTGAAGTTCCAGGTGTTTGCTTTCAAGCACAAAACTGGCTTGGATATCCACACCTTATTGTTTGCACACACAGGTACATTAGCAAGTTACAAGAGGTTTACAGGCATTAGCTAAAAAAACCCCTAGCTCCACTGACAGAGAGTAAGATGCCTGTTTAATCCTGCTTCAAAGAGCAAGGAAACTGAGGCACAGTAAACTGTTCTTGAGACAAAGGGGAATCAGGGTTCCCCATGTATAACATGCTAAACATGTCTGGTAAAAAAGATCAACAGTAGCAAAATACATCCAATTAGCAGAATCCCTTAGCAGGCAGAACTACAGAGGGAATCAGTCTCACCAGACTTTGCAATTCAGGCAAACACTTGAGCCCTGCCACAAGCAATCTCCCAGCAGAATCCAATTCAGCTTTGCAAAGCTTGCCACTAAAAAAACCCACCCCAAAACCAAAAGAAACACCCACATGCTAGTCTTCTTTGGCATCCAAAAGCCTTCCACACATGTAACGCCAGCCCTTCCATGGCTTGTAGGCTGCTTGCACCTGCAAGGTAGAGAAGCGTTAGCCTCCAACACTTCCCAGCTGCGTCCACCGTGCCAGTCAGGCACAGTGTGCTCATGTTGCCTAGCAATAGAGAAGTCTCATTGCTTTATACAGCCAAAAATGCAGCTTGCTGCTGCAAGCCCCATCCCCAGCATGAGAAATGGGTAAGGACATCTTTAAGATCAGCAGGAGAGCAAGTCTGAGCTCCTTGTGGGGTTGTGAGGTACATTTTAGGCAGAGCTGAGAACAGTCCCTTCGTGATCTAGTGGAAGGTGTCCCAGCTCATGGCAGGGGTTGGAACTAGATGAGCTTTAAAGGTCCCTTCTAACCCAAACCATTCTATGATTCTGTAAGAGATCTCAGAAGTTGCCTTTATCATTTCTAGGTTGAAGATGAAACAGATGAACACAGGGACACTACTGTGCTAAGAACCACACATTTCATAGTTACCAGCCATGCTCTTGTCAATTTGTGCATCAACATCTCAAGTTAGTTGCACTCAGGGTTGTAAAGCTCCTTTTTCACCATTGGCATCCTGGCTGTTAACCAGTGGGTCAGCAAAAGCTAGTGGCTGGCACAGTCAAAGGCACGTCTGGGTACTAAGGTTCTTGTCCTGGCTCTGTATATGAGTACTGGAGTGCCTTAGACAAATCACTTGACTTGTTTTGCCCACATTTCTGCAGCCATGAAAGAGACTTTCTTATTCAGGCCACATGAAGGGAATTCAGCCACATGGCCTGGACTGACAGACATCACTGAAAACAGACCCTGCATGCTCAGTTCTGCATTCAAGTCCAGCAAATCAAAGCAGGGACCAAATCTCTGGTTCTGCCTTGCAAGCTCGTGATGCCCACTGACCAGACTGAAGATGGGAAGACTGATCACTCGATAAGAAGAACACCCCTGGCAGTAAGCTGATGGTGTTGCTCAGGCTTTACAGAGCCTCAACAGCCAGCTGGGTACAAAGATGCCTACATTTCCACCTGTAACCATGAATCTCCTGGGCTTATATCCTTTTGTCCTAGGCAATGTGCATTATACCACACCTATTTAGGTACAATACTTGAAAGCAGACTTACAAGGGCTAAGGGAACCACAGCACATAATGCAGCAGAACTGCCCACTGCATGAAAGCAGCCTTACCAGATCACAACTCTCCTCCAGCAATGTGACAGCCATATCATGCCCCATACTAAAACAAAGGAGCTATTATGATTTCCACTCCCCTCCAAACCAATTCACACCATATACATGCTTGGTAGGAGCTCTGGCCTCAGGAGGCCTCCACACAAATCTGCACCGTTTTTCACAGCCCATGTACAGCTTAGTCTTGCCTCTTACGAAGAAAAAAGTCTTTATATGACTTGGCGAATGGCATTTTGCTTGGACACTTGCCTGGTTTCATATGCAAAAAACCCAGTCTTCATATGACAAAAATGTCTACAGCACTCCTGAAAGTAGCATCTGTCTCTTTAATTGGAGACAAGAAATAGCTCTACCCCTGTGCCTGCCCAGCTCCAATTGAGCATTGTCTGCTCCACTGTCTATCTCATATTTTTTCAAGAATATCCCAGTCAATGACTCTGTGGGAGTACACAAGCCAAACATGCCTTCTTCACTTCAAAGTAAACCCAGCAAGACTGAGCTCCACAACAGGCTATGAGCAAAGATACAATGAGAATTAAATAGCCACCCACCAATGAAGTTGTGCTCTCCAGAAGAGATAAATCTTGCTGAATTAAGTTTTGAGAAGCATGCTAAATGTTTGTTGAGTCTGCATGCCAAGAAAGCTGCAGAGAAAGTTCTGTCCAGTGCTTTGGTCAGTTTGTAGCTCAGTTGTGCCATTCCTGCCTGACAGTTCACTTGTGCTACAGAATACACAAGCAAAGCCTCTGTTCAGAATGGCACATCAGAGGGAAGCAGACTTAGCTCTCTGTATTACAAAGGAAGTAAATTTGCAACAGGAGTGGCTGTTTCAGTCTCAAAGCTGTTCTCCAAGCTGGAGAGAATCTGCATCCAGCTCTTACCCTTGCTCAGTGCCCTGTGTGAAACTTGAGGGCAACTTTGCCTTCCCCCATACCTTCCACTTCGTTTTTATTAGCTTGAAACAACCCAGACCAGTAAAACAGAGCTCACCCTTGTTGAGTGGAACAGCACTAACTGCAAACATGCATCAACTTATATATTTCCATGGGGCTCAGTGTGCACTGAAACCCAGCTGCTTTCACTAGCCATGAGAAATCCACATCTAGTAAAGCAGGCAGGCTCACGCTTCCTTCCCACACTCAAGAGTGAGAAAACAGGACAGGGAAAAGAAGAGGACAAAGCCCTTTTGGGTAGAAAACGCCTCTGTATTGTTACTGCTATTTAATCAAATGCACGTCTGACGAGATGGAGCCCCAAGCGCAGGCCACGAGGAGGCACAAATGCTTCTAAATATATAGACAGACTACCTTCTCTTCCCTTTCCCTGCTTTTCTTTGTTCATTTATTCACATCAGAAGAACAACATGTCCTCCTCCCCCAGCAACGCGCTGCTGGAAGCGATGCCTTTCCACTGAGACAGTAGCAGCAGGATCTGGGTCTTCTGTCTGCATTTGCAACATTAAAGCTTTTGCAGAAGCCTTTTGCTCAATGAAATATTTACTTCCTCCCACCCAGCATGGAGACAGGGATACTTGGTCAATGAGGACGTACAGTCTAAAGGGCTATCCAGTATAAATTACCATGATTAACAAAGCAAGAAGCAGAGCAACGGAAGCCTGGTGCTCATCAAAAGTCTTCTTTGGCTTACTGAGTTTGCTAACTAGTGCTGCTCCCTTAACCCTTTAACTGATGTAAGAAAATACACGTCTCCTGGCAACTACTGCTTATAACCTGCAAGTGCTGGAATACAGACATTTTCTACCTGAGAATGCTTTATGTTGTCAGTAACCACCACTATTGACAAAAAATGTCATTTCTCCCAGTTCCTTACTCCTGCCTCTATGATATCAACTCTTTATATTGGATTAGATTAGCAGGGAAAATGCTGAATTCATTTCAATGAAGATAAGCTCCTCAATCAGCACACAACTGCATGAAAGAAGGCACAATTAGAAGACAAGATGCCTCTTGTCGTGGCAGAACTGGTTCATGACAGCCTGAACCATCCTGTATACAAAACAATCCAAGCGCCCAACTGTATATTTGCTTAGTTTTCCCATCAACTCTTCAGTTTAGAACCAAGGAAATACTGCATCAGCATACCACAAAATCTCTCTACCTGTTTGGAGTAGCCTCCATAGATGATTATGCTGCCCTCAGGGTTGGTAGCCATTTGACATCCAGATCTTGGAGCAGGCCCGATCCCTGACGGAGCCAGCTTGCTCCAGGTGAATGAGTCCAGGTTGAAGGCATACACATCATTGTAATAGATGTAATCTCTAGGGAGAGCAAATTGGCGTATCACAGGTTTTTGTAATGGTCACCCATTTAGGACAAGATAAAATATCACCAAAACAGCACCAGGAATCTCTGAAGAGGTGCTACACCTTATTCAACTTCTTTCATTTATGGCTTTTCTCCTTCCGTAGCAACCTACAGGTTACTATTTCAGTGCAACAATTTGCATTTGACAAAGCTCCTTTAAGCAACACCTCTCTGCGTTCTTTTTTACCTACATCATTCCTTACTACAACAGAGGTTTCATCAACTCTTTTCAGTTAACACAGTCCAAGGTAACTCTAACCAGAACACAAAAGATCAAAACAGATTAGAGCCATGTCTGTTGTGGGCAGTGAGAAAATTATACATATGCCCTGTTCCCTTCCTACTAACTAGCCCACATACTGCTAGTGGAAAATGCTCTGCACAGGTTAAACTCCCAAGGACACAGTCAAGTCTAGGGTGGGCTTTTCAACTTGCACTCTGCTCCCAGGGACTGCACTTATGCTGCTTACTATATCCGAGACACCACATAGCTCAGCTCTCTTCACAGTCCCCATGACAGGGTAGCTGCGACCTCATGTAGTATGTGAGAGGTACTGAAGATGTTTTGAGGAAGACAAGGCTCTTTGACAAGATGCAAAGGAAAAAAGTGATCTATTGAGCTTTAGCTACAATGATAAGCAGCTACCTGAGTGATTAGCTAAGTGGTACAACGATTTCTCAAACACTTGAAGACTTTAAATCAAGATCACTTGAATTTCTAAAATAAACGTCTAGTTCAGTAACAGTATTGCTGAGGATAATCCCTCCATTAAAGCCCAGCTTTCTGTTACTGGAGAAATTCTGTTGTCTTTTTTAGAGAGGATTCAATACCAGCAGCCATCTTGCAGTAACCCACCTTGCACTCTCATGGAAACCTCCAAAGATAATCAGCTGTCTTTTGCAAGCAACCATTCGATGTCCACTTCGCCCAGAGGGACCTCCTGATGCCCTGAAATGCAAAGAAATTCCACTTATCAGCAAAATTCCCTTTCCTGTTAGTGTGTCAGTACATTTTTATTAAAGTCATCGGCAGCTGGGCTGGTTGAGTTCAGCTTCTGTTCTCCAGGAATGGAAAACCACAGGGAACCTCGTTGCCTTACTACATATGTATGCTTTTCTCCAGAACAGTATGTGTGCTCTTCCTGTAACTCCTGGTATTTGCAACACAGGCATTTTGCAGTAACAATTTTATCCCTACTGATAAGCCAACATGTATCTAACAGCACCCAAAGTCTTGAAGTCTTCTCTGTTATGACTCAGAAGCTCATTTGTCAGGAGAGTTTAATGAATAGCAGTTAACTCCCAAAACTGCAAGAAAGGAACTCCAGACAGAGATGTTTTCTCCAAGTACCAAGAAAGAGCCAGGACTGGCTCAGACACCCATTCTCATTCCATGTCTTAGGAAATCACACACCTATAGCATCTTCACTCATTCACATGCAGATATGAGATGATACCAAACCAGCAAGAAGACTTTGTAAATTACTTCGATTACTGTGTGCAGTTCTGGTGGCCTCAACATAAGAAGGACATGGAGCTGCTGGAGCAAGTCCAGAGGAGGCCACGAGGGTGATCAAGGTCTGTAGCACCTCCCGTATGGAGACAGGCTCAGAAAGTTGGGGCTGTTCAGCCTGGAGAAGAGAAGCTGCGTGGAGACCTCAGAGCAGCTTCCAGTACCTGAAGGGGGCTATGAGGATGCTGGAGAGGGACCTTCATCAGGGACTGTAGCGCCAGGGCGAGGCGTGATGGCTTCAAACTGAAATAGGGGAAGTTCAGGTTGGATATAAGGAAGAAGCTCTTTACTGTGAGGCTGGTAAGGCACTGGAACAGGTTGCCCAAAGAACTGGTAAACACTCCATCCCGGGCAGTGTCCAAGGCCAGGTTGGACAGAACCTTGGGCAACAATTCCTGCCCATGGCATGGGGCTTGGAACTACACGATTTTAAGCTCCTTTCCAACTCAAACCATTTTATGGTTCTATGACTTCCTCAAGAACAAAGGAATTGCCATAAAACACATCATTGTTATTATCTTGTACATTTAAAAGAAGCTACTCTGTTCTGTTCTTTCATGCTTTTCTGACCTTTCAGTTAAATGTGCTACTTCCATTTCCAGGAACAAAGAACAATATCCCATCTGTCACATCCAAAGGCTTCACACGAAGCCAGACAGCTGTCAACAACATTCCTGAGAGGCAATGAAGATGCACCTTCCTTCATGTTCACCCACAGACTGAGCATTATATGCGAGAGAACAAAAACAACTTCAAGAACTCTCAAAACAAAAGCAACTTTAAGCCAAACTGCAGAGAAAACAGGGTTTGCTTTTGTGTGTTCTCTGCCCCCATCGATCAATCTACCACGTTTTCACTCTGGCTGAAGAGTCTCACAAAGTGCACACAGCAAGACTTCTCAAATAGGCAGTGTTAACGTATGTTAAGTGGTTGAAGAATCAAGGGCTAAATAAATAAGAAACCTGCTCACCACTGAAAACAACAGCAAAACCTAAACTCACAAACATACTGGTACACTTCAACTGGCAGCAGGTAGCTGTAAAGTGCAGAGACAGACTTTCGTGGAGAGGGAAAATGAGGGCCCTTATTCACCATCAAAAATTACAATCTCACACCAGTCATAATGAAAAACTCCAAGCAGAACAGCAGCATTTGGATAAGACTGAATTAATAGGATTGCTAGGCCTTTTTATTCTAACAGAGAGTAAGGTTTTCTAGGCATTTACTGGATTTTTAAGTATCACCCTGCAGAATAGCACCTTAGTGTTAACTTCATCAAGATGTGAAATCGTTATTTTCTCTTCTGCAAAAAGCTCCCACGTTATTATTCCAAACAATGGCACCTTTTAAAATCTATTTTTTTTCTTTAAAGCAAAGAAGGAATTAGAAATCAATGTTAACAATAAAATCCTTTTCTCAGAGAATGCCTTCTGCCTTTCTTCTCAAACAGGTTCCCTCCAAGTCAAAAATCAATTCTGAACAATAAAAAGTTTATTCAATGATGTGTGTGTTTTAATAAATGAGTTCCCACAAGTATATAATTACCTCAAAGTCACAAACTGGGGCCTGATCTGAATTCAGAGAAGTCTCACTGGCACCTGCACCACTTGCTCTCAATCACAAGACTGTTCTCTCTTTTCTTTAGACTAGCAATACAATCTACAAGAACAGATGCTGAAAAACAGTTCCAGGAAGCCTCACCCTGCACTTTGTATCTCTCAGCTTCCTTGGCCTCAGGGTTACACATTGCAGAAATGAGCTATAGAGGAACGTCTACAGCCTTTGATGTAAGCACATGCACTCCTAAACTTGCAACAATTGCTCTTTGAAAGTATTTTTTTTTTACATAGAGCTATTCACAAACCCAAGGTCCTTTGACCCCAGACTCCAAACATAACACTGGAAAAACCAAATGGCATAGTCAAGGAGGACAGGCAGGAACATATAATGATGCTGCTACTCCAGAAAGCACTTGCTGCAAGCTTTAAGACTCATTTCCCAAATACAAACTGTCTCTTTTTACCTGTATCATTGCTCATGGTCCAAAACAATCATTTTGGAAATGATTTCACAGCCTTTATGATTAATACTCTACTTCCTGGGGTTGACACCACAAAGCAGACATGTGGGAGGGAGCTGTAAATTCTCCAGACTTTTTTTAAAAATAGATTAAAAGATAAGTCTGGATAAGGACTGGCTCTACACATGTACAGCATGAGTCTGATCAGAACTGCTCCATGAAGAATTTGCTTTTGCTTATGAAATTACCCTGGGACTTACAGTAAGATAACAGACCCAAGTTCAGCCCCCAGATTCAAGACTAACATGTCACAGTGGTTACAGACTGCCTAAGTGAGTTACCTTTTCATTCATTCCTTCATCCAGAGGATGCTCAGATGAGTCCTGGAATCTTTCCATAATAAAAGTGATGATGCATAGAACATCCCATCAAAGGGGCATTTCAGGACAAAGCACTTGTATCCTCCAGTACACAAAGCAGCTGAAGGCCAGGACTTCAGTTCTACATCTTACACCTCTGAATGTTCAAGTGCACACACATACAGTGTACCCCCATGTCTGTACACTCGGTTAGGAAGTACATGAGTGAATATGCAACTGCCATAAGGCACGAAATCCTCAAATCAAATCCCCTGCAAAGTCAATCAACAGTTGCACATTTGGATCCTGATCTACCAAAGCTCACAAGACTCACTTCTGGGCTGACAGAGGAGGTCTACTCAATGGTACATCAAAATATCCTTCTTTAAGCACCAATGCACCCTTCTACTTTGTGTTGCAGGACCTGATCTTTCTGGTGACATACAGCACATGAGCAAGAAAAGCCACCAATCAGAAAACAAACCTATGCTGAAAGGCATCCTGCAGCATAGTGACTGCTCCAGTTCTCTCTTGTAAACAGCATTAAACATGCCCTTGTGAAATGCTACCCTGAAGTATTTATAGCACCACATCTCACAAAACTGTTATGGGAAGTATCATTAGCATTCCAGTATTAAAGGGAAGGGAGCTATACAGACTCAAAAGCAAGACAAACATTCACAGAGAGGAAGGATCTGCCAGTTCCCAAGCAAAGCCCCAAAGCATGATGCTCCCTGTCTCTCTTTGAGGGAGTGCATAGGGCCACAGAGAATGTTCTTTCTAAGACGGAATGAGGCAATTAGGTTAAAACATTGCTTAGCTCTAAGGCAGAGTAACAAATCGTTCATGCACTGAGTCAACCTTATGCATCACATACATGGTAAGGTGCTTCCAGTAAGTTGAAGTCACTTGCTGGCAAGTCTTCTAAGGGGCTGGGATTTGTTGTATTTGCATGTGTGTGCATGCAAAATGCAAGTAAATATAGCTAAATGTTGCTAAATATAGCAAATTTTAACTCTGTCAAGCAGATTGGCACCACTGTGCTTTGAGCTAAGATAATGGAGATCCACTTCCCCAGCAGCCTTTGCAGGCACAACACAAGAATGTTGCTTACAGGGATGAGTTATTCAAGGTTTTCTCTTTAAAAACATTTTACAGCTAAGCCTCTTATGGCACCAGAATGGTATGTGGCATGAGCTGTAGGCCAGGAAGGACAACATAACTGTTTGAAATCTAAGCTGTGGGGCTGGAATAACTAGATTTCCTAAAACTGCAAGTTTGGATGGCAGCAGAGTCATCTTAGCTGTTCAGTCCACACAAACCAGTACATTCAAATCCACCTGAAACAGGGCACATGTGATTCTTCCCATGTGGAACAGAAACAGAAACTTGTCCAGACAATTCTTAATGAACAATTAAGCTATTCTATTATTTGCACTAGAATGATGTCTTCCAAACCCAACTGAGTTTACCCAATACCAGTCTGTACCCCAAATGTCTATCACCAGGCATTTATTCAGGTAGTAACACTGCTAACACATTGGAAATACGGAATTATTGTTTGGCCTGCTAGGTGAGAGCTTGTTGTACCAGGGCTGGAGCCCTACCATGACCCAACAAACCTATGCAATCCTCCCTTGCCATTTAGTTTTCCCAAATACATTCAACTCTCCTAGTACCACTAGCCCCCAAGCTGACTCCCACTGTCACCCGTCAACCCAGTTGGTCAATGGCTATCCAAAAAGTGCTAGACTTCAGACAGACATGAGATATCTATGTAGAAAAATGACCGCAGCAATGGGATTCCCTGGCAAGAAAAGCAAAATGCTGAAGGAAGTGAAATGCAGCACGTGTTAATGATCAGTTTTAAAAGAAACAGGAAAAAAGAATCCCTCACACAACTCAGTGATCATCTCTGCCCTTTCCTATTCCTCTTTCCAAGCAGACTGTAATCAAGATGCCATATGGAAAAGCAAAGAGGCAGCAGAAACCCAATTTTCACGCTCAGTCAGGTTAGCATTACAACAAAGACATCCCCTCCCAGCCTCCTCTGCCAGATGCTTCATGAATGCAGCTCCTGGAGCTCTGCCCAAGGATGGGGAGGAGATGCACTTTGTGTTATTCAAACACTGGGACCAGGCCACAAGCGTTTTCAGAATGCCAGCAAGGCTGACAGACAGACATACACCCAAACACATCAAGCTCAAATGGAGTGGACCCTGCACAGGGCAGGGCAAGAGAAAAGATCATCTCTCCAAAGCATCAAACTCACTTAGAAAATGTCTATCCTTTTTTCTACCAAGAAACTATGAAGCATCAATGTCTCCAAATGCATCCTCCCTCTGTGACATGGCAGCCAAAGTGGCATTTGACAACCAGTACCTGGGGATGGAGAGTAGCTCTGGATGACTTGAAGAGCATGGTAGCTAGAACTTGCTCCATAGGTGGGACTAGGAGCTCACCTTGCCAATGTGGCTCTCTCTTCAGTAACTGCAAAAAGCTACCACAACAAAATCTCTTGCCATGGTTTTAGTCCACTTGGGACCTGGGATTGCTGGCAGCCTCCTGCAACTCGCAGCACATGCAAGCTTCATGCTCAGCTCCAGGGAGGGAACAGCTGCTTTTGCAGAGTAGGTTACACTCAGCATCCCTGAGGCTGCTCTCCCATGTGGGATAAGATGCGGGACGAGCTCATAACCACCTCAATTCCTTTTCCCAGGCAGGTCAGGTAGCGCAGCATTTGTTTTGGGAGCTGAAAACCCTAAATCAGCTTGACAGCAACGTATCTGCAAACCCACGAGAGAACGATTTGCGCCATCGGTGGTGGAGCTAATGAAGCCTCATCTGGATTCTCCGATGGCTCACAAAAACCAATCTCCTGCCCTTGCTCTCCCTGCAGCTGGGTATTAACACTGCTTTCCCGTAAGGATTTTTTCAACCACGAGTTTGGTTGAAATGTCAACCCTTTCTCTCAGCAGGGACTCTATAGCATCACTTCCTCCCCCTTGCCGGCTTAACATGAAACTGGTAGTGACATAATGCATTTGGAGTTCATCTCCTTCACTTAGCTGAGATGAAGCAAGGGATTCAGCAGTTATTTTGAGGGAGCTGGGAAGGGTGCACTCACATTCTCAGTCATTACGTCAGCTTCTGCCTAAAAACAATAGGCAGATCAGCTTGCACAGTGACAGGTCTTTTTAATCCTTGCACCTCTTAAAGAGCCCTCCCTCGTTTGGGAGAGTTTCTCTCACCCCCTCTTCTCAAAGACAGGCAGGGCTCACTAGAGGAAACCTGGCTTCCTGTAACATGGCAAATTACAGTTGTTACCAGATTAACACTGCCAGCTCTGGAGCCAAGAACCATAGTGCTGGACAGGAACCAGCTGCTTACGATCAAACCACTTTCCCTCAGCCTTCCACAGCATGCAGGACTACCCTAGATTATTGCAGAGCAGTCAGCTGCCAAGATCCTGTGCTCCAAAGCATTCTCTATCCCAGCCTGTTTTGGACTCCTTGAGATTTTAGCACTTTGGCTCTATATGCCCTCCTGCACCTTCTACACCAGATTCCCTTCAGTGCTACACTAACATTAACAAAATTAAACCTCTAATTTTTCCCTTTGTCAGGCAATATCAATGCTGACATTTTGCAGGGAGGGGGGAAAAGACAGGCATGATGATTCACTGTGTGGCCTCAGGCACGTACCAAGGCAGAGCCAGGGTATACATCTCTGCACAGCTCAGTCTTAAACCACCCTCTCAATTACTGTGCAAGAAGAGAGAGACACAGACAACAGGCATCTGCACTCTGTAAGTGGGGCGAAAAGTGACCAACCTAGGCAAATCTAGGGTTTTCCATCTGAAGGAAGTACATGGAGCTCTTAACCAGAAGCCTGACAGGTTGAACAGCAGATGAGCAAGTGTTAAAAACCTGCTGCTTTCTCCAGTGCCACCTCAAGGATCAGCTGCACCCAAAGCTGTGCTCTCACTAATCCCACAGTCAAGATAATCTCAAAGTCCAAAAGCATGTGTATGTCTAAGTCAGAACCAAAGCCACATCTCCAGCCTCTCAGTCCACTGGATAATCCATCAGACCTCCTCTTCTCCCAAATATGAGCAGCAAAACCAGGAAGCCGAAAGTTAAGGAAACATGAGCAGAGGACTTCAGGCCAGATCCACAGAAGTTATTTAGACACCTTAACGCCTGTGAAAAACTACCAGGGCTTTTGGCACCTATTTATTTGTACAGCTCTGAATGATTGGCTTGTTTATCTCAAGGAATACTGACGCAGCAAATGCCAGTTATCAGGAGTGAAGTTGGCTCTGTGGACAGATAGATACAAGTTGTCTCCTCAAGCAATGGTAAAATTGGGAGATCCTTGTACTGGTCTTGTACAGCCCAGCCAGGCGGAGCCCAGGAGATGGAGCAACAAGAACTGTTTTGAAACTGGTTGGGATGACAGGGTGCTGCTCATGATACTCTTTTCTTCAGTTAAGTAATACCCAAGCACACCCACGCTCCAAAAAATCACGTATTAAATAAAACCACTTTGGGCTCAACAGACTTGGAACACATCTTCCATTTCCATTTCTTACTGGAGGCTGTCCTCTCTATCATTTCTAGGACGGGCACCTCTGTACTCAGTGGAGAGATGAGCAGACAGCTGGGAAACCACAGCACTATACCAGGAATCAAACTCAGATCATGCTGGCACAGTTCCTCATGAGGTCAACACCACTGACTTCTGAACACATCACAGAATCATAGAATCCCAGGTTGGAAGGGACCTCAAGGATCATCTGGTCCAACCTTTCTGGCATAAGCATGGTCTAGACAAGATGGCCCATTACTTACTTGATCTGCTCCCAGGTCTTGGTAGCCAAATGCAGGACCCAGAGATCCTTGTAATGATAGAACTGCTCCCCACTGGGAGATGCAAACTCTCCACCAAATAGCCACAGCTGCCCACCGGCTGTGGGCACCACTGCTGCCTGCCAGGAGAAGAAGGAAGAGCTGGATCAGAAAAGGGTTCAGACACCAGAGACAGAAGAACTTTATCAGTCAAATGTGCAGCTGCCTTCCAAACACCAGGGAGCAGACAAGTGGCAGTGGCTGCTGCTGCCTTGCTTGACAGAAGCAGTTCTCTGGGGCTGAAGGAAGGGGAATTTTAAATGCAAGTTACTCATTGTTACTGTCCCTATAGCAAAAGAAAGTTGGCCAAGGAGCTGGACTCTTCCCACCTTCTAGCACTCTTGAGTTTTAGTTACACAAATTCAAAGTTCCCTGGGAAGCCTCTTGGGATTTAGTTTAAACTAAACAATTTAGTTTAACAACAATTGTTCAAATCTCTCTGCTCACCATAGGGAAACCTCTCCACAGCTGAGGCTCAGCAATATTTCACCCATCCTTTAGTCACATAAATAGACATACAGGGGCTCATGAGCTCTGAGGCATAGGAGGAAAAGGGGCACTTCCTTCCTCCAAGACACATCTAACACCCCAGCACCAGGCAGGCACAGTAATGCAGGGAAAAGTCTTTTGGAAAAGGCCATTAACAGTGCACAATTGCCCTTTGCAGCTTTTGTAAATTATAAAACAACAAACGGTAAAGAAGCCAAGCTACAGCACAAGTCCAAAGCTGACAATTCCCAAGATCTGAAAAGCATTACTGTTCCCTCTGAAGAAACAAAAACAAACCCACCACACCTTCCCCCTCAAAAAAAAAAAAAAGAGAACAACCCCCAAAAGGCAACCCCAAAAAAAAAAAACAAACACAGAAGGAAATATGCATCATTTGGACAAGAGGAGACTTACTGCTTTGATTAGGACAAGTAGCAGAGAGAAGAGTATCGAAGTGGGTTTTAATACATTTTTTTTGCATAGAGCAGCACTAAAACACTGCTGCAGTGCAAGCTGACAGTTAAAAGCAGGGAGGGAAGAGCAAGACACTAATTCATTATAATTATCTGCGTAAGTACTAAGGAAGAAGGAAGGAATCCCTAAAAGGAAACTATGTGACTGTGCAAATTTCTTCCTTGATGATGATCTCTTGGGCTGTTTACGCTATAAACAAATTCTTCCACATGTGTTTTTTCCAGAGTACCTATCAGACATCAACACTGGGATAAAGATCTCTTTCTTCACAAGGGCTCCACTACCTGCCTACCTTTACTAGCAAACAGCAAAGATTTTTAGCATCAGACACATGAGCATACCCTGACAAACCAACCTACGCATGAAATGATTAAACACATAAGAAGGTATGTGTGTGCCTCCAAACAGGATTTGTGGAAACTTACCTAAACAAAGAGGATACAAGCCTGTTTTTCACATGTATCTAGAACTTAAAAGATTAACAGAAAGGTAGATGCAATAGCCTGCTCATACTTGTGTGTGACCTTTTGAAGAGCTGGCTCAAAGTTCATTACATAGCCAAACCTTCTCCTCAAACAACTGACAGCTCCCACCTATAGCTGTTCTCACCTTGGCTCTATTGAACTGATGTAATGAAGCCAGTGTAACTCAGAACTGCGTGACTGAGACCAGAGATGACAAATAAGACTGAAAACATGCTCATACAAACCCACAGACATGCTTCTGTTTGCCTAATGCAGAATACACATTAAAAATTAAGTCACAAGGAAGACAAGAAACCAGTCAACTAATGAGGCTGAACTGTCTCCTGTGCAACTATAATTAATTATCAGACAGAAAACTCATTGTTGAAGCAGGACTCCCATTTGATTTTTGTGGTAATCCAGCTGCAGCTTCCTGATGCACAGCCTGCCTGTTCATCTTAGATTCAGCTGCTAGACAGCCACCTGCTGGCTACCAACACCAGCCAAGCATCTCTCAACTCCACACCCACAAAGCAACCTCCTTGTCACCTAGGGAGTGTTTGAATTTACAGTCTCCTTGTGGAATCTGGTCTCTGAAATCAAGTTTTATTTTAAGCACCACAACAGAGCTCCAAAAATCAAGTCAGAACCTTTCTGGACACACAGCTCAGAGCAAGACTGGCACTTAAGTGTAGCATAACAAGGGTATATGAACCTAACCAGCGTGTTGGATCTTACCAGGAAGCTCTAAAGAGCCTTGGCCATGGGTAGGAAAATAACATTCACATCCTGTATGGCAGCTTTTGAAGTGTACCAGTCACCCAGCCACTTGCTGTGACAGGTAAGATAATCTATCAGACAGCTGGTGACAGCCAAAGACCTGCAAAAAATACAAGTCTTTGGTCCAGTTTCTAATGTGGTGTTCACATAAAGTAAACAAACACAAACCCTTCATCATCACAACCAGCCAGTGACCTTAATGACACAGGTACAAGAGGTGAATTCTAGGGGAGTATCATGATACCCCAGAGAAAATTTAGACAACTTTGTGTCTTGCCTTTGCAGACTAAAGAGAAGCAGCCCATCTGACAAGGAAATAACAAAATTCACAACCCAAAGGCAGGACATAGTGGTCTGTTGTGTTGTACAGTTGGGATACTTGACAAAGGCCAACTGCTGCGTGCTAGAAAGGTCACCCTATAATAACGGGTCTTCCACACTCCTGGAGAAGCAGTATCTGTAATGCCCACAGATGTAAGCCTGTAGGCACTGAGGAAATAATCATGCACAGTAACTCCGCCATTCATAGCGCTTTCATCAAGTTATAACCTGATCACCATTTTTGAAAATACAGGATTACTGATGGTTGAGCTGGTCCCTACATGATGTAGGAAAGAGAGTTCATCTTCAACAGAAGTCTCCCCCTGAGTCCTGCCAATCCAACAGATGCAATCCCAATCTTCACACTTAACATTTCCAGAAGCCACCCAATGGTGCTTCCAAAGAGCACAAACACCGTGGACGGGTTTGTACAGGCCTCCTCAGCATAAGAGGTGAAGTGACACCATTAGAAGGGGAACAAAGAGAAGCCAGAAACCCTGGGAGGGTGGGAAATCAACTCCCATCCACCTTTAGTGCAATGTTAGAACAATTCCAGCATCCAGTACTTTACCTGGTGAGCACATCGCCTCGGTGGTGGGTTGGGGATCTCTACTTTAGACCAGCTGTTCTTCCGGATGTTGTAAACATACAGGTCATTATAGAGATACGTCTGTTAGGTAGAGAAAATAGACATCACCACAGCTCTCCATTGGACAGGGTCAGTCTGTCCAAACACAGCCACTCCTGAGGGTTACCTGTGAATCTGGGGGAGAAGTAGCCCAGCACCAGCTTTGCAAAGCAACAGCTCTCCTAACTCATCAGGCAGGACTCCACTAGACTGGAAGTCAGAGTGCTTCACTGGACTGGACTGTTCTTTCCCAAACCCTTGGTTAAGCCTTGGGACATGAGGACTTAAGAAGTCGGAAGTCTAACACAGACGTGAAGGTTAAAGTTGCCCAAACTGCTACTCAACCCCACAGACAGGAACAAGTTAAGGCAGTGAAGCAAGCAGAATTAGTTTAATACATCACATTGGGTGATCCTAAGGCAGTCAAATATCATTGGCAGGCTTGAGTTTTCAAGCTACAGTACGTTCAGCTTCTTAGTGTCATAAGCACCAGTAGTCTCCAGGAACAAAATAAACACTTGCAATATGCAGAAATGCACTAACGAGAGTGTCCTATTGCAAATATTTTCTATTGTACACATCTCCAAGGCAGGCAATGCCTTGCCAGCAGCAAAACTATAGAAGTATCTTGTTTTGCAAGCTGGAAGTTAGAGATTCTTCAGTAGTTATCAAAAAACGAGGGGCAGATATGGCTACAATTAAATCTGGAGAAATTATGAAGCCCTGAAATATTGATGCCGAGACAATCACTCTGACTCCTTAATGGGTTCTAGTATGTCTCCTTCCTGCCAACTGCTCAGGCATGAGACAGTATCGCGGCAGAATTAAAAGGCTATTTTGCTCTCTTTCAGGGACAAATACATATTTTATGACTGCTGCCTTGAATTTCACTTCAAATGAGACTCATGCAAATTACAGTAAAAGGCAAAGAGAGGGTAGAATAAAGAAGAAAAAAAATGGAAGTATACATTACTTTTTGGCCATTGAAATATTCACCTCCAAAAAGGATCAATTCGTCTTTCTCAGGATGAGCAGAGAGAGAGCCATTCAGCCTGCAAAAGAAAGAGGGACGGCCAAACCAGTAATGTGTAGGAGTCTTGTAAAAGAAGCTTGCAGTCTTAAACTCAGCTAGCACTAGCACCTCTGCCCTCCAGCCACAAAGGTCTCTCCATCATCTGCCAAATTACAAGGCTGTTATATTCACCCCAGGGCTAAAAACTTCTCAAAGAAATGAACTTCTTAAAAACTTCCAGCATGATTAATTTGACACTGTCTGAAATCTTCTCCTATTTTAGAAGCACACGTTATAATGTCATTTAACACCCCTTTTGACGTGAGCTCTTGAATTTTAATACCGGTGTGTCAAGAACAAAAATTAGTTTTGTGAGGGCACATAACTATGGGTAGAACTGGGCTGTCTCAGATCAACTTATCTGTGTCACTGTTCTGCAGCCTGCACTGGTCATTGCTTTGCATAGCACCAAAGTGTTTTGTAACATGTGGAGACAGACCCCTACCACTACCAAGGAGGAACTAACTAACTGTTACACCCCTGTGAGACCAACAGTAGGGTACTGACATAACCCACTACACAGCCAGGAAAACAGTTATCATGGAGAAAGGCATTTTTTTAACAAGCCACAGAAAGCAGAAATACAGAAGCCAGAAGCATGTGGACCCAAAGCCACACTTGATAAAGAGTCTTGTATCTCAAGACGCATCCTTTTGTCTCTTAAGTCTTTTCAGCTTTCTAGGCCAAATACAAAACTTCCTCTTAACCTTTATTTTTCCTCAAAGCCCTATAATCTAACCCTGCTTTGCCTCTTTTGTGCTGATGAGATGATTGAAAGTGGATTTTAAGGCCAAAACCAAAAAAAGCTTTTGGCCTTTTTTTGAAACAGGGATTCAATGTACCAGATATTTTGTAACTCCAGATATCACCTATACCAGATATTATGCCTTCCACTCTCAGAAAATAACCTCACATAAATATATTTATTAAAAGCATCAAAAGAAGTGACAGCCAAGGCCTCATACAATCTCTTACCTGGGTGAGGGTGGTGGGCAGGATGACTCAATTACTTGGGTCTTTTTAGCATCTAAACTCTGGAATTCTGCTATCAGGGCTTCAAGATCCTCCTGAAAATAAAAGCCAGACATGAGATCCATGACATGCACAGAGCCACTGCAGATCACATGAAATCAGCATTCATCCTCACAATTTCCTTTTAAGACAAAAAAGAATTCTGCTGAGGCTCCCTTCATTCCACTACAAGAAATGGATGGTGAACATTTCCTCGTACGCTTTAAAGACCGGTCTCCCCTAAAATATTAACAAGTTGCTCAAAAGAGCCCTTAAAAAGATGATACTCAAAGTTCACTTAGTGCACACCTGCTGTTCCTGCAGCAGAAACACTGCACAAATCTGCAAGTAAATGCAAATCATTTAGGGCCTGACAAAGTGATGAGCAACTACAATGCTACAACCCAGCTAGTCTCTTCTTTGCCTGCGACGGAAAAATGCTTAAATGGAACTGGAAACTCTTTTCTATTCCCAGCTCATACTCTAGTTGGAGAGAAACCTGCACGTATTTTTATCCCCTTTCTAACTCTGTCAATTAATAATAAAATCTGCCTCCCAAACTGCAGATAAACGGAGCTGAAAGGGCAAAAGCAAGACTGCAGTTAGGGGGAGTTTCTGATCCACGGTCTCTCCTGCAACCCCACCGCTCACCACCTCCCTTCAGGTAACCTTTCTGAAGGTGTGGTTAAAGCAGAGATTTCCAAAATCTGCGGATTTCACCTCTGCAGCCAGTACACATGAACACTGGCTCCTTCCATGTCTTCAGTTTTGCATTATGCTGCAAAACGCCACGTTTACCAGGGAAAAGTAGCTGTTTTGAGACCTAAATACAAGCACCTGCTCTACGAGTGAAACAAACATTTTCATCTGCTTTTAAAACCAGCGGAAAGGGATGGGGGAGATGGAAAGCAAAAAGGACCCTTAAACTGTGTTTTCTCGTCCTCCTTTTCCAGCTGCTGCCACACGCTGCTCCAGCTTGTCAGAACACGTGGATGCAGTTCCTATTTCACCCCTTTTCCGACCTCCCTCACACACGGGCGCTGATGGCTCCCCAGGCTGACCCGCCAGCGGGAACACTGCTCCCTCAGCAGGACCGCACTAACACTCACCCGAAATCTCACACGAGAGGCGACGTTTTGTGACCTCAAAACTCCTCCACCTGCACAGCACGTACCCGACGAGGGCCTGCAGGCCCCCAAGGGACTTACCCAAGT